CAGGAGGCAGCAGTTCTGTCCCTAATAAAACCATCACGTGATTTTCCATATGGAAAACCAGGCACCTCTAGCGGAGAGGGATTTCAATGTTACTGTATGTTCATCTTGCCACCACTTATTGTCATTTTTAGTAAGACTCTTTTAACACACACCAAGGTCTGTGAAAAATGGATTAATTCATAATTTTACTGTAATCTACTGAATATTACAATTAATTTGCAGAAATAAAGTTATACAATTTCTGCCTAAGTATGAAGTGAATCAGAACCCTCAAGAAATATTATAAATTAGCACTTTCCCATAAGGCAAATAAATAAATAAAAAATCCTGCATTTTAACTATGAACATATAATTCTGCAGCATAAAACCTCCTAAGGAAGTCTCTTTCCTCCTGCACAGGTTGTACCTTAAATAAACCACATACCTATTGGTAAGGCTACCTATACTACAGTTATTTTTTGCAGGCATTATTGTAATAGGTTACGATGTCCTTAATTAATCTCAGCTATTTGACTGGTACTGTACATTCACATATGACTTTCATTACAGACCTCAGGACTATCACTGAAGGACGAGTACATTATGAGTGATCGAGAGTGCTTTTTTTCTCTCTCCATTTCATTCTCAGCTTTTAAAACCAATTTTGTTTTCATTTGAGTTAAAGAAAGGTTTCAGAGCCTTTAGCTTTTAAAACCCAGATGTACAATTTTATGCATTTGCCCTTTGTCTCATGTTTAAAATCTGTGAGCATTTTGACAAAAGAGTGAAAAAAATATTTCAAGCAGCATGAAAAGAAATCTATAAAACAAGACAGCAGAGTGGTGCAAGTTCAACTTGAAACAATTTGGAATGATATTCATTCCTCCTGGGCATATGGCTAGCCCTGTTAGAGAAGCCAGCTATCAGATAAAAGGAGAAGAGTGATCAGAGTAGTCAAAGTAATATTCTATGTAAATCCCCAATGACAACAGGATACACCCAACAGCCCCTGGAAGGTCACATTATTCTTTCCCAGAGCAGTATTTTGTTCAGCCATCACTGGCTTTGATACTGCTGATTTTTGTTTTACAAAATCTTTTATCACTATACAGTATGTCTGATCATCATTGGGAATCCTTTACATATATGAAAATGGCTCTCTCTCATCCCAGCGTTAATCCCGCATCAGTTGGGTCCGCTTGTCGGCACGCCCGTCTGAACCAAATCTTTGAGCCGACATTGCCATTAAATGCGACCTGCGCGTCGCTCCGCCTGCCGTTGGAGGGGGGGGGAGAACAAAGTAATGTAGCCAATTCATAGAGGGGATTATTAGGAGGCATGGGAAATTTGGCCAGGACGCCGGGGTTACACCCCGACTCTTTTCGAGAAACACCCTGGGATTTTTAATGACCACAGAGAGTCCCCGTCACTATACTGGGGCATTAGGACCCACGTGGACCACAGGGTGAGCGCCCCCTGCTGGCCCCACTAACACCTCTTCCAGCAGCAACCTTAGTTTTTCCCAGGAGGTCTCCCATCCAGGTACTGACCAGGCTCACACCTGCTGAGCTTCAGTGGGTTGCCAATTGTAAGTTGCAGGGTGACATGGCTGCTGGCACATATATGAAAATGGCTAATTTTCCTATTTACAGTACCAGCAACTACAAGATACTTTATACTGTATATATATATTGTCTTGTTCTCTCTTGCATTGGCCCAACCACCACAATTTCGCTTAAAGTTCTGGGCATCATGATTGATTAATATATTATAATGTATCTAGATAGATTCCACAGATATGTAGCTTCCAATATGCATTCAATTATCTAAATAGATATAATTGCTGCATTTCATGAATCAACAAGCCTACTGTGCCACAGTCATAAATGCAGACCATCATTATTCCAAATATTTTTTAGATATGAGCTCATACCAGCTACAATGCAGCTCTATATTTTGTGCTTAAAAAGCCTTTCACTTTCACTGCCTATAACTCTGAATTAAAAACTGTATTGAATCCAAATTTAACAAGGAAATGCCACTGAAATTAGTATCTCTTTCAGAAGGAAGGCTTTGGGATTTGAGAAAAAGAAACAGATGTTTAATAATATCTTAAATGCATGATTACACCATTCAGAATAAATCTGATCAATCATACTGAAGCAATCAATTTTATTCCAGCTCACATTTTTTATTCATTGTAACTAATTAAGCAACTGTTTTAAAATACTACGTGGTTTTAGAATGGGTACTTGACCTTCAGGAGAAGAACATTTTTTGTTTATTTGCATTTGTTATCTTTTTTTATGTGTTTTACATGTTTGCTACTTTTAATGCCACATTTTGACTATATGGGGTGTTGCCGTCCTGGGTGTGTGTGTGGGAGTGATGCTTGATGTACCACCGTTAGCTGTATTCTGTTTTTTCAAACAATTAAAAATTACTCACAAAAAACAACATCATCCCTGGACCAACTCATTCTATCAATAGGTTCCAGCAGCTGCATCACATACTGTATCACTGCGACATGTTTTCCAAACAAAGCACATGAGTTATCACGTTAGTCTTTGAGCATCCTCAGTTTTAGGTTCCATGAGGACTATTGCTGGATTGCAGTACAAGCAAAATGGCACATCAGTTGCTCTTTAAAGAAAAACAAAATTGACAAATAAACAAAGATTCCTTTTTATTCTCTTTGGCATGTGGTCTGTTGAAACAGGGAATGGGAAATAAACACACATAAGCACCTGGTTAAAGATATTTGGCTAGACAGAATTTCATTTTGAATTCTTGATTATAGAAATAACAGTAACAAGAAGAAACTCTTTAAAAGCAAAGCCCACAAGTTCATCCGAATGCTGAGTGAATATCCCTGGAGCAGCACAAATTCGGAATATATGAAACAATATATTGAATATATTCTCGCTGCAAAAGAAAAACTGTCCTTGTAAAATTGAGGAAGACGCACACAGAGCAGACCCATTTTGGTTTCTATGAGTGACAGAGAGAGTGTGTTAGTGTTTATAGTAAAGAAGAGAAGAACAGAGGCTGCAATCAGTCCTGCTGCCCTGAAAGGGTTTTAAACAGTTTCAGCTCAGCTGCTTCCCTGGGAAGGCTAGCGTGATTAAGGAGGGCAGTATATTTGAGAGCTGTAAACATACAACTGACAGCAGATGAGTTCAGCCATTGAACAGCAGAAGAGCAAAGCCAGAGCCTAATGAAACAAAGAACTTTTTCTGTTAGCAAACTGATGACTAGTACTTTATGTCTGAAAGCTGTGAAGACAAAGCAGAACAAAAAAATCTGTAAAATGTTCCTTCGTTAATTGGAAAAAAAGTCTTGGGATCTCCTGCATTGAATCGTTCAGCAATGTGGACAACTTGAACCCAGAAGTGAGAATGGAAGTTCTTGTTTGTTACATACGGTATAGTTTCACCACACTTCATCTCAGCCAATAGGTTGAAAAGCTATCCTTGAAACAGCTTATCTCACTATTCAACAGAAAAAATAGCCACTTGCGGTGCAAAGTGCAGGTGGGAGTCCCAACTAACAGAGGCCAGTAATTTCAGGGTGAGAACCTGAGGCCACAGACCCAGATAAGTTCCCATGTATCCCAGCATGCTCTCTAGAGGCTGACATCACAAGCCCCACTGTTTGACTGTTCGGTGCCCCATCAAAGCCTGATGAGGGCTCTGCAATTCATTTCTTCTATCCTCTAAATAAAAAATGGTACAGTACGTTAGGCTCCACCGCCAAAATGTTGTGTCTCTTCTTTTGCTTTCAGCATGGCATAACCTATACCTGTTGCATTGGGCGATGTATTATAGGTAATAATAATGAGGCGATATCATGTAGATACTGAAGAAAATGGACTTGAGGCTTTAAGATGAAATTAATTATCATCTTATTGATGTGGTTGAAACTACACAGGGTTACAGGAGGAGTTCCCAGTCCTGTTCCTCATAATGCACACACCTGCTGGTTCTCTTTCCACTCAAGCTCATTACTTAATCGAATCCTTAATTGAACTAGAAGTTGCTTGATTGGGACTTTTTCTATTCTAAAATTGGAGATCTTAGGTTATGAGATGCAATAGTTAGCGACACTGAATTACAAGGTGATATACTGCAGCAGCCAAAATCAATCAGGTTTATATCAGTTGGTCATGAAGGATCAATTATCAAAACAATGCCAAGAAATTTGTAGCAATGTCCAAAATCTGCATGCTTTTTTGTTCTTAAAAAACATTCATGCAAAAGAGTTATAGCTACAGTATATTAGGAAGCTCAGCATGGTTATTCGGGATAGAAAAAACAGTGACAACATTTTTCTACTAATTCCTCAAGATAGCACATTTGAATTTAGAGCATATTGCAACAAAGATATTAAAATGTGTAAAGGACCAGTCAGCTAGAATAAAAAATAAATGTATTTTAGGCATCCAAGAAAGCACATATTATATATGTGAAACAATTGTGTTAAAATCCTGTGAATGGCTTGGGAATGCCAGCCATGGTTGTGCTTGAAACCTGGTGAGTCGTTAGGAGAGTTTGAAGTTTACGTTTTTTGATTAGGACTGTAATTTTAAACACATCACACTGGTATATGTACATGCATTTTCAAAAAATGTCAGACTAATATTTGAGTAAAAATAATCGAGCAAGCCTATATAATAATCAGCATCCTTTTTGGAATCACAGCATTTATTGTGTAAACCTAAGCCTTTGTTTCTACTATTCAAAAAATGTTAGTCTAATTACTAGAACTTAAAGAGTCATTTAAAAAGTATCTCAAACTGTCTCAGGGGTAAAGCATTCCTTTCACAAGCATTTGCAGTAACATTTTTGTTTCTCAGTGAAAAAAGATTATTGAATTAACACCTGGATAAAATTTCGATATACAGTACAAATGTGAGTGAGTAGGTATGCAAAACTTAGCAGTTAAACCATTTGTGCTCCAGCCACTGACACACACTGACCTCAAATACTTGGCAGAACATCAAATTCCTGCACCAAACAGTTCCAGCACACGTCTTAAGGAAACCATCACTTTAACAAGACCACAGCAAGAGACAGGCTACAAAATGACAGGTCTGTAATTTTCATACTTATATATTAAAATTAAAACTGTTATGTACTGATTCCATTCATCTTTAACTGGCATTATATTTTTGGTGTACTGTATATATGCAGTAAAAATATACCTTTTACTCATTAGTAGAGCTATAGCTCAGAAATTGTTAAAGCGAGACAATTCCTTTTTCTTTATCAATGCAACCCCAACCAAATCTTAGGCAGACAAGGGTTACTGAGTGAAATTCACTTGAAAGACGTTACTTGCACAGTTCAGGTCTGTTGATGCAAACTAAGAGTTAATACATTGCACTTCTATTCAGATAGGTAAAAGAGGGTTTTGGTATTATAACTTTTGGCCCAGTAGTTGAGGAGGAAAGATCCCTCCTGTTAAAATGCAGAAAAGTATCAGCAGATTTTTCCCACCCATGTAAAAGTCAGTTAAAAGCTGTTGTCTCCAACTGTGCCTTTAAAGCTCAGAGGAGTAGACAGCCTTACAGCAGTAATTGTAGCTTTGCAAAAACAACTCATTAGGACATGTATTTCAGAGAAGATTTAAGGGCACTCTTTATAACTTATGGAAGAGAGGCACAGACAGGCTGACAGATTCCAGTTCTATAACAACCACTTTCTATGGTTCAATCAGCTGTTTCTCCTCAGGAGAACTTTAAAAAGAAAATAACAATTTGCTGAATAATACAATATGAAAAAACAGAAAGCCATGCCATGCAGTCTGGTAATGAGTATATTCAAACATGTGAAGAAAAGTTTTAACTACCCTTTATAGAACACTAGGTGTGAGAATATTGTTATTTTTTGATACAGTAACGTGAGTTTGAAAGTCTATCATGTATTATGTATGCTATCTATTGTAATGTATTCGCTTCACACAGGAATAAGAGTTATAGATAAAAATCATTTTTTAATCCGTAGTAAATCTAATTTAAACTTTGCTTACATACTGGAAGAATATTTTTAGAGCTGTCTAATGCCTGTATTGAACTGAGCTGTGAGTGAAAACAGAATATACTTTATTGGAAGTGAAGGAAAGGTCAGGCATGGTGAATGATTGGCTCTTATGGAAGACTTCTGGGAGGTGATGTATTGAGCAGTGAGGTCAAGGGGTAATCACAAAAAAATATTGCTGCATAAAACGCACATATTGACAGTCTCTACAGATGTGTTTTTTTCATCAACTCTGCTTTAGCTCAAAGGACAAGTTCTTCTGTGCTCATTTCGATGCTCTCAAAACTATTTTTTATCAGCGAGTCTGGTGTTTATTAGCATGTATCAGCAGCAGTGACATCCTGCATTTTGCAAAGTTTAGCACATTACAGCTGAAACCACCTTTCCTCATAACTACAAGACCCAGCTGCTGTGCAGAGCTGCTGATGTGATGTTGGTTTTTATTGTGTTACGTACTGTACTGTATGTGTACCACTAATCACTATTTCACAGATCATTTATCTTCTGTGAATGCATTCAGGGCACTCTAATTCTTAAAGCTTCTTCTACTGCATTGACACATTATTAATTTTCAAAGAAGGATGGCCAGTAGCAAAGAGAAATTATACTGTACCATAAAGTTTAGACGGCATAAATCTGGTTCAAAGAACCCCCCCAAAAAATAAAAGAAAAATACTGTCCAGTAACACAGTGACTCAGCTGTTTTTGGTTATACAGTACATGCAAAATAAATTAGTAAACAGTAAAAAGAATTCTTCCTCTGGCATGGAATGGTTTTACCCTGATATCAACTTCAAAAAAAGCAAACAAAAATGCAAGGTCTTATAAAACTGCTAAAGCACAGATAAGTATGATGAGATATACTTCTGAGTTAATGACTTTCATTAAAAAACAGAACTGTTGCACAATCAGAGGATGCATACAACCTCCACTATAGCAAAAAGATTGTACAAAATCTCTTTTTGAACATCTAGCTCCAGGTCCAGCTCCTGCTTCTAGGATAAAAGGTTGCAAAGTAATTCTCTTTCACAGAAATGTCGACACATCACAGAGTAACTTTCTCTGTCCTATCTCACCGTCTACATCAAAGCACGAGAGAGCGATCTGCCTCCAGACACCTCAATAATTACTCAGCAGGGACCAATGCAGACAGTAAAAGTGATCAAATATTCATGAGACATGAATCATTAAATCCAAAGTAAAAACAGGAATATTGAGAACAAGAGTGATATTTTATTGAGTGCCCATGTCATGTTGTCATGGCCTGCAGTAGAGTACAATAACTATGATTGCAAGAGTGACATTTCTAACATTTATCACCTTAAAATACTAAGGATTTTAACTAAGGAAACATCATTTTCTGATTCTGAAATACTATCAAGGATGAACCAAAGAAGAATAAAAAAAATAAAAAGATAGTTATTCAGTTTTTGCCCCTGAAGAGAAAGTAGCATGAAAAAGCATTTCAGTGGTGCTCTTGTTTTAATAGTATATTCTCTGTTGCTTAGTATAGGACTTAGGACAATAAACATCCTGAGGCATATTCTCGTCAGATGCTAGAATTTAAGAAAATCCTGGCCTGGATAGTACTTGAGAATGAAATTCAAACTAACGGAAGTGGTACTGGTAGACCAGTAGGTGGCAGTCTTCTCTCCGGCCTATAACAACTATAATAACAGGTAGAATGGATTTGAGTTTTTTTTAGGAAGAATGATACTAAGCTGTTGGGAATCCAACCTCCAGTTGAAACCACAGCTATCCTTGTCTATTGGGGATTTCAATGACTACACTAGCTATATAATTACATGTTTATTTGTTTAAATTGTTCAAACGTACCAGTAAAATTTTAAATGCATTAGACATATTTTGCATGCATAAGAATAAACTGGAAAATACAGTGAATTTAATCAAATGGTTTGCACTCTTTAGAAATGCCCCTTTTCTATGAAAGCTCTTAGCCTGACATTGTTAGACCTCAGGAGCTCAGCAAGGTTGGGTCTGGTCAGTACTAGAAAACTTGTCTGCTTGAAATTCCATGCCGGTTCTCTGGTATGGTGACGAGGAGCAGACTGTATAGGAATAGGGTCATAGGAGGTGCCACTGATCTTAGGAAATGTTAAACAGAGATGCTCACTGAATAAATGTATTTCCAAGTGTAAAGGTGTTAACCCCTTTGTCCTGTCTAAATTACACATTGGGCTTCCACAATCTAGCTGCCCCAAATCTCCCCCAATTCACTATCCCCTTCCTAATACATTAAACAATTAATACATAAATACAGCCTACAAATGCAAGCAATTTGATAATTCAATAATTATTATTAATCGGACCATGTTTATCACAGTAGCAAAATGTTTTTATTAGTGGTAGGAAATATTTGATAAAGTACTCGTACTGTACACGGTACATACATAATACATATAAATTAATGCATGGATATAATCTTCTTTATCGGAGATTTTCCATTTATTTTCTAAGATTTTCTCAAACTACAAAGGTTCCTGCCTTTAATAATGCCAGAGGCCAATGAATGAGAGTGTATTTAAATCTGAAAGCTTTATGACATGTGAAATTGAATCTTGTTTGGTGTATAAAATTGAATTAAATGTTGTTCTCACTCACTATATAGAGCTTTTTGCATGTAGAATAGATACAGCAGTTCTGCCACACTAGTGCAGTGAAATTGCAAGAGCTGATTAATATTCACCCCCATAATTTACAGCAATCGCAAGTTCTTAAAAAAACACAACAGACGTCTAAAGGATATCCTCGTAACACGCATTTATATGTCTGCTTCACTGAGTGGCACTGAACACTTGCAATGTCTTGCTGAAGTGCCCAAATAAGGGTGTAACAGCCTTCCATGAGTGGTAACTCTGACTTTACAGTACATAAGAAAACGATGGAATTACAAGGTCTCCCAAGCGCAGTCATATGACACATTAATTCACATTCCTTTTAAACGACTTGTTTTATCTCTTTTTTTACTAGAAAATCCTGTAACTTTGAAGTATCTTTCTTGATGACATCCATTGTTCTTTAATCTGCATTTTATTTTGATTACAGTGATAGCATAACAACCAGAAAATCAGACAAGACCATCTGGTTCTAAATAACACAGGCTAACCATTGTGACAGTAAAGTGTTTTCCAACAAGCTTTCTTCTTTTAGAATAAATCCTGAATAAATGCCAAGTTGAATTTGGAATGAAACTAGGTAAGTAGCTCAAGGTTTCACATTCAGAGATAATTATCCTATTGTGTCAACCTGAATGTGTATCAGAAAAGACCATCGCCTGTCCTTGAGGGCTGGGTTCTACTGTGTTTCTTGGGTATCTGTAAATCATTACCTGCAAATATAGAAAAAATAACGAGTTGAACAGGGTGATTGGCAATTTAACTCGAATTTGAAAGTCCCTGGCCTTTACAAAATTGTTCGCTTCTGATACATATAGATGGGCTTTGGATCAATACTTAACCTCTCACTGTAACCTCTCATTTTCAGTGCCTCGCCTTAAACAGTTTATCAGAAACATCACACAAGCTAGAATTAATCTCAGACGACAATCAGCAACAAACGTTAGGTGAAGTTGCTTCACAGAAAAGTTGTCATTTGTAACTGCTACCAACCGAAGAGAGAAGAGAACGCAATTAGAATTTATAGTGGAATAGTGCCCATCCACCTGTGAACTCATATCATTGATGCTGTTCTTTGCCCAGACATTCAGCTTGCTGTAAGCTTTTTGAAGAGCCTCAACCTCTGTATTATATAATGAAATTATAAGGTTCTTGTTTTTAAACCCCATCTTCAATCCATTTTCCAGCTTCTGTCTGTTAATCCTCAATCAAACTGGAGTAATGCAGAGTCATGAGAGGGAGTTGTTTTGCAGACACTGCCAAATACATTCAGCTTGATCAACAAAGACGTTGCATTCTGATTTGTTCAAGCCGATTTTTAGTAAGGATCTTAAACACCTGAGAAGACAGGCACATAAAAAAGCTGTCTTTTCAACAGGACACACCAAAGAAAGATTTATGCAAGATCGAAGGGAT